TCACTTGGATAAGAAAAAAAAAATACTGGTTTTGCACAAAGTCCTTCAGAAAAGAGAGAAAACACTTTTGGCTTGCTTTTTGAGGTTAGCAATTTCCTGTTTCCAAAATTGGATGAAGACATCATGAGAAAAGAAAATTATAGATTAGTATACTTCATGAATAGAGGATAAAAAATATCCTTAACAAAATAGCAAATCAAATTCAGCAGCATACATACATAAATTATAATACATCGTGATGATCGAGGATGAAAGGTTGTCTTAACATGCAGAATAAGTTGATATGATTCTTCATATTAACAGTTAGGAAGAAAAAGTATATGATCATCTCAAGGTAGGCAATAAAACTATCTGAAAAAATATAGTACTTATGATAAAAGTGTGTGTGTGTGTGTGTATGTGTGTGTGTGTATGTATAGATGTATCTCCCAAGTAAATTGACAACAGAAGAGGTCTTCTCAACTTGATAAGAGGTACCAAAGAAGACTATGCAACTAATACCAAACTTCAATGTTGAAAGACTGAATAGTTTCCCTACACTAGGGAAGAAGGCAAGGAGGCTCATTCTAGATCACTGTATCCAACATTGTGTCAAAGATCTTAGGTAGCACAATTAAAAGGGAAAGAAAGTAAAAGACATAGAAATTGTAAGAAATGAAGGAAAACTGTTCTTATTTGCTTATTATGTAGAAATGAAAACCCAAAATAGCTACTAGAACTACCAAGTGAATTTAGCCAAAGTAAAGAAACAATGACAATATTCAAAAACATGCTGTATTTTTATAGACTAGCAACAAAGAATGTCAAAAATGTAATATGTTGTACAATAACCTCACAAAACATAAAATACTTAGGGATGGATTCCACAAAATATGTGAATATCTGTACACTGAAAACTACAAACATCGCTGAGAGAAATTAAAAGGAGGCCTCAATAAATTGAGAAGTAAATTGTGTGCATGGGTTGGAAGACTCCATGTGAAGATGTCAGTTCTCAAACAGTCACAGTGAGAATTCTAGCAGGATATTTGTAGAAACTAACAAGCTGAGATTCTGAAAGTTAAATGGAACTTTGGAACTGCAAAGGACTTAAAACAGTCAAAACAATTGTAGAAAGAACAGAGTGGGAGCCTGTGTGATCAGGATTGTGACATGGCTCCAGGATTCTGCCCTGCTCTGCTGCAAGGCCAGTATAATCTCCTGGCTTTGTGTGGAGGAGGGGACTGACCAGGATGGAATTTTGTTTCATGAGTGGGTGATATTATATAGCAGAGGTGAAGGGTTTTCCACCAATGGCTCTGCAGGACTGCATGGCTTTGTGGTTATGTGTGAATACCCGGACTAAACATGAAACTTTGGTGCTTAGCCTAAAGAAACAGACATGTCTTAACCCCATTTCAGATCAAGGTAAATACACATTTATTACAAAGTCCACCCTGGGTTCATAACCAGAGGAGGAGGCACCGTGAGTCATACTTGTGTGTGTTTGGGGAGGGAATTCCAGAGTCATGGTTACCTGGGTGTGGCCTAGAAGGGAGGAATGTAGTCTCTGGGTAAAGAGGCCTCCAGATCTGGGATCTCCTCATTCCATGGGAAGGCAGGAGGCACAAGGTGGCTGGAAGGGCCTCACTAAGCAAGATATCTCAAACTTTTATGTGCACATGGATGACCTCAGGATCTTATTAAAATTTAGGATCAGAACCTAACAGAGTGAGAACTGGTCTTCTGCATATAGGAACAAACTTTCAGGTGACATGGGAGCTGTTGATTCATACTGTGAGGAGCCAGGCTATAAAGCCTGGGTCCAAGTCTAAGGGTAGAACCTCTATAGAACCTAGTAGAACACCCTGGCATTAAGGCATGAAATCAGCCCTGATGGATTGATTTCACTCAGATTTGCCAAATCTATACAACAAGAGGAGAGTAAAAATAGGAAGGACTATCATTAGTTGAATGCCCACTGTGTTTCAATAGAAGGTGATTGATGTATGTCATTGGGAACTACTCCTTCCAAAGTAACAGCTTAGAAACACTGCTCAGTCACTGAAAGGTGTTCTTTCTGATTTTATAGCATCCTCATTTCAGACCTTCTGTCTATGAGAGTTACCCAGTTCACAGCACTGGGAAATTCCCAGGATCCTCTTTCTAAATCCACTTTTWAAAATATCTTACGATAGCTCTGGACAGTATTCTGTTGGTTCCTCTACAAAACCATCCCATTAACCTCAGATGTAGTATCCTGATCCTTGACAGTCTTTCTTTAAATATCTTACTGGCTTCCTAGCACATTATCCACAGTAGTGCTCCAGATCATTTTCAGTCTGTGCTCAGCATATTTCCAACTGGCAGCAAAAGTGCTTCATCTCACTTTAAAGAGGAAAGAGTACTTGGTCCTAATCCCTTTCTTCTGGGTATTGCTTGTGGATAATTCCCTAACTTCCTCTCTCCTTTGACTCTGATCTTAGCCACTCTAAATATTGTCCAGATATCCTGTTTTTTGTTTTTTTTTTTTGTTTGTTTGTTTTAAATTGTGCCTGCTTTACTTTATCCCCTGCTAAAGGCCTCTTTCCCCTTGCCTACTGTGACTGGGATCCCTGACTCCACTGACTCTGTCTGTCCTTACACCACCTTGATCTCTGGTAATCCAGACTTCACCAAAGTATTCAGATCACCAACTGCAAGGTCATTCAAGGAAAAAAAAATTTACATGCTTTACAATTAATTGTCACATGCCTATGTGTGTGTGTGTGTATGTGTGTGTAGTTCCTTAATAAATCCTTTCTTCACAAAATAGAAATAAACTAAGTGCACAGTAGATTYTGTCTACATTAGCACCCAAATTAGCGGGATTAAAATCATTGAAGTTATAGTGAGGTTCCATTCCATTTATGATATATGAATCCTTACACACAAACAAATGTTACTAAAGTGAAAAGAAAAACCTTAATTTCTCTATTTGTTGAAAGGAAAAAATATAATAATTTGTGTTCCAGCCTGCTATAAGGAGATAATACTGAGAGGTAATGTGATAAACACTTGAAGTAACTATCAAATATGTACCTTACGAATGCAGTCAGCATGGATACTCAGTATATATGAAATCTGAAGTAAATAATTCTAAATTATGGATAATTCAAAACTATTCATTGTACTTGAAAAGTTATGGTAGTTAGCATTAAGCAAACAATAGATTTTTTTCTTTTTAAAAAAATCTTGTGCATTTATAAAYTACAGTGAAAAAAAGCAAGATAGGGATCCAATCTGGTATTAAAGCAATGTAATTAATATGCAGTTGACTGTTTTAAAAAACGTTTTTAATTTCTTTTAATTAGTTATACATGATAGTAGAATGCATTTATGCATTTTGATATATTATACCCCCTAGATGGAGTATAATTTCTACTTTTTCTGATTGTACATGTTGTAGAAACACATTGGTCAAGCAGTCATACACACACACACACACACACACACACACGCACAAAGTAATAATGTCTGTTTTATTCTACTATTCTTCCTTTCCCACTTCCCCTCCCCTCCCCTCCCTTATCTCCCCTCTATCTAATCTAAGGTAACTCTGTTCTTCCCTAGTGCATTCACATAGTAGAAAAAATATTCGGCCTTTGGTTTTGTGGGATTGGCTTATTTTGCTTAGCATGATATTCTCCAACTCCATCAATTTAGTGACAAATGCCACAATTTCATTCTTCTATAAAGCTGAGTAATATTCCATTGAATATATGTATATACCATATTCTCTTTATCCATTCATCTATTGAAGGACACTTAGGTTGGTACTATTGCCTATTGAATTAATGATCATCCATTATATTTTATAAAATAATGAATGTCCCACTTAAATGTGAAAGGTGATTTTTKTGTGTGTGTGTGTCCTGGCTAAGACTACCCATATCATAACTCACAGTGGGAAAACTTTGGGACTCTTCTGAGTGCTAGTCTGAGCATCAGGTGTAACAAAGTGTTTTATTAAAAATGGCACTATAATATTTATTGTTTGTATTAATAAAATGTGAGAGCATTAATAACTAGAAAATGAAATAAAAACTTTTGTTTAATATTCATGCTGCATTATTTTCATTTTGAAGTATCTTTTTTATTTTGAGAACATTATATAAACACCGTGATGCTTCTAGACCATCTCCCTTTTCCTATTTTTTACTCTATTTTTTGACATTTATAAAAGCATGTACTTTTTCTTTTAAATTCTATGCTGAAGGTTAAGACCATGGGCCACTTATTTCTTTATTTTATCTGAATTTTTTTTCTCCCTATTAGTTCAAAGAATAGTAAAAACATAAATCTAGTATTCTACTCTCTTTCAATGATTATGTTGCTAATGGGCCAAAACAAACTTCTGAAACGCAGATGAACTTCTTAGTTATTCCAAGAGAACCCGGAATCTTCCTTTACCCTCCACATACCCTGCTTTTCAGCACAGCTAAAGCCCTTGCTGAGGCTGTATAAATTAATACATTTGCTGGAAATGTGACTTTGGGACATTTTATAAGCAGCGGTTTCAGTGCTGTTAGTGGTGGAATGGAAACTTGAGAAGGTGAAGATTAATTTAAACCACATGATGGGTTCAAGGAAAAGGGACKAAGGCTACAGCTTCTTGAATGTGTGCTAGCTCTGTAAAGTGGGGAATGGGATCCGAGAAAACCACCAGCGAACTTTTAAACCCTCTTGAGAGGAATCATACCAGCTCAGTTAGCCCTGAAATGGTGCTGCTCCTGACGACAGGCCTCTTTCCTCTCCCACTTGCTCTGCCTTAGAGAACACAGTTGGGAGTCCTAAGAGAGAGGAGGCACCCCAACTGTCACCACTAACTGAACCATGTTTACAGCCATGAGCTGGTTTATTCTCTGACTTTTAGCATCAGTTTCAAATTCTGTTGGGTTCTTTTAACAACAGATAATCAACAGACTGTATGTTGTAGACAGTTAATGAACTCAAAATAAAATATTTCTTTTCCTTTTCAGTTCGTCGTATCAGTGTTCTGGACCATCTATGCCTGTGACAGAGAGATGATATACCCAAAGTTGCTTGATAATTTTATCCCAGGGTGGTTGAATCACGGAATGGTGAGTAGATTAAGACAACTGGCTTCCTTTGACCGAACAGAATCTGTTCTAGAACTATATTCTATCTTAGACTTTCCATGGCATTGACTTAACTAGCCATCAAATCTCAGAAAATAATAATGAGAGATTATCATTAGAGGAGAATACCACATGTAAATTTAAAAATGTTCCGTCATGGAATTGAGTCATTGTCTGGACTATGGAGTAGATTGATTTCCACCTACACAATCATCAGTCCTCTGCTCCAACTCCACCTCACAACCCAGGGATTGTGCTAGAAGCAACTGTTGTGCATGGACAGTTGCCCCCAGAAGAACAGCAAGACTGTTATTTCCCTGGGAGAATCGTTGTCGGCCCCTGGAGGTGTCCAGGCAGGAGCTTCTTTGCTTCATCAAGTCCTGCCCTTCCTGGCTTGTTGGCCCTGGGCTATTTCTTTCTGTGCATCTTTCTGATGCTCTAGCTGTGGTGTTCCCTTCACTCGTTTCCAATAGATTACTTTGAAATGTTTGCACACCACTTTACAAAATTTGAAGACGTATTTTCTGCAGAGATATTTTGTGTCACCCTCCTTTTCTGCTTCTGGAATGGAGTACTTTTGGGTTATTAGCTATGAAACATGTATTTTAGTTACAGCAATTTTTAGAATAGGTCCCAGGGAGTTCCTCTTGAAAAGGGCAACCCATCACAGAAATTACAGGGGAATGAAGAGCTAGAAATCATGAGTCCTAGATCTAAAATAACTGTTTCCCTTCTGCCTCCAATTTCAGTACTTTTTAAGAAAAGTGGTGTGTACTGACAAACACTAGCATACTGAGGGCCCTGGAGCCAACCTTTCTTAGGCCAGCCCATCGAAAGTGGCACATGTCAGGGAACTGAAATTTTCTTTGCGATCAATTGGAGCCACACTGTTGACACATTACCTTGGTATCTGAGCTAATTTCAAACAACATAAGCTGCTCTTATGGGTTCAACTTAGCCATCTAAGGTGCCCAATAGTGTTACTCTGCCTCTTTTCAACATTTTACTCTTCTCAGAGGTGAAAAGCCTTTTCAGAGTTCCGTGCTTTGGCATCCTGCCCCAGGTGCCCCTGGTACACTCTAGCTCATCTAACTGCCATCATTACAGACTTCCTTAAGAAGTCTTTGCTAACTCTCCTTGCAAAGTTTGCTGTTCCGTTATTTGTGCTTGCATACCACTTCCCTGTCTCTGTTATGCACATCTGCACCCCCATAAAAATGTCAAGCTCCTAGTATAAAGCAACAGCCTTTGAATTCTCAGCACTGTGCCCAGGGGCTTGGCATATGGTGGGATCAATACATACGTACTACACCGGCGAATGAATTCAGTGTAACCAGTTTCTATAATTCTTTACTTAGCAATACCAATATGTACAAGTTTTGGAGTCTCTTCTGTCACCCCTCATTCCACGGTAGTTGCACCATTTAGTGTTCAGACTGACACTGTGAACACAGAATTATTATCTCATTTACAAATAAAAACACTGAGGCTCAAAGAAGCTATATAATTTGTCCCAAAACAATAAGCTTAGGGTGGGAGAAATGGGGTCTGAGCCAAGGCCTGTCTGGCCTGGAGTGTGTGTTCCTTCTACTAGTTTATATTTTGTCTCAACAAGCAAAACATTAATTGATTCTTAGAAATTATTACTTCATGTAGCTTTTACCACTGTACCTCAAGAAAATACAGGAGAAACACTTTTGGGATATTTTGAAGCTTGTTTTCAAAGCAGCATAGTTCAGCTTTCTAAGATAAACCACTTGACACTTTCTTTGCTTTTCTTCATGTTCCAATTCACGGTTCCAGAATTACTGAAAAACAAGTTGCACAGGGTGAGAGAGGTATTTTTGTTGTTGTTGTTGTTCTTTTTAGTTACACATGACAGTAGAATTCATTTTGATATAATTACACAAACATAGAATGTATCTTATTCTAATTATGACCCCATTTTTGTGGATATACATGATGGTAGGACACACTATGGTGTATACATATATGTACATAGGAAAATTATTTCAGATTCATTCCACTGTCTTTCCTTTTCCTATCCCCCGTCTCTTCCCTTCATTCCCCTTTGTCTAATCTACTGAATATCTGTTAATTCCCCCTCACCCTTTATTGTAGGTTACCTTTCACTTAGTGAAAAAGTTGCACCTTGGTTTCCTGAGACTGGCTTATTTCACTTAGCATGATAGTCTCCAGATCTATCCATTTACTAACAAATACCATAAAGGCATTCTTCTTTATGGCTTAGTAATATTCTATTGTGTGTCTATACCACATTTTCTTTATCCATTCATCTGTTGAAGGGCACCTAGGATGGTTCCATAGCTTAGGTATTGTGAATTGAGCTGCTATAAACATTGATGTGGCTGTATCACTATGGTATACTGATTTTAAATCCTTTGGATATATATACAGAGTAGTAGGATAGCTGAGTCAAATTGTGGTCCCATTCCTAGTTTTTWGAGGAATCTCCATACTGCTTTACAGAGTGGTTGCCTCAGTTTGTAGTCCCACCAGCAATGTATGAATATACCTTTCCCCCCACATTTTTGCCAGCATTTATTGTTACTTGTATTCTTGATAATTGCCCTTCTGACTGGAATAAGATGGAATCTTAATGTAATTTTAATTTGTATTTCTCTAGTTGCTAGAGATGTTGAACACTTTTTCATATATTTGGTTGACCATTTGTATTTCTTTTGAGAAGTGTCTGTTCAGTTCCTTTGGCATTTATTGATTGGGTTATTTGTTTTTAGATGTTAAGTTTTTTGAGTTCTTTATATATCCTGGAGATTAACACCCTATCTGAGGTGCAGGTGGCAAAAATTTTCTCCCATTCTATAGTCTCTCTTCATTTCTTGATTGTTTCTTTTGCTGTGAAAAAGCTTTTAGTCTGATGCCATCCCTTTTGTTGATTCTTGATTTTACTTCTTGCACTTTGGAAGTCTTTTAAGGAAGTCAGTTCCTGAGCCAATATGTCCTACATTTCCTTCTATTTTGTGCAGGGTTTCTGGCTTAATCTCTGGGTCTTTGATCCATTTTGAGTTGAGTTTTGCACAGGGTGAGAGACAGAGGTTCAGTTTCATTCTACTACATGTGGATTTCCAGTATTCCCAGCACCATTTGTTGAAGAGGCTATCTTTTCACCAATGTATGAAAGAGGCATTTTAAGAAAAAAAATTCAGGGCATTCATTACTTCCAGAGTCTGAATTGCAGGTGAAGATGGGCTTTGCAAGTCACCCCTCCAGATTTCAAACCAAAGCACATCATCATGTGCTCAGGAAGTGATATCTAAATAACTTTATTGTGTATCCTAAATGAATGAACTAGTAAAGGGAGACATCTGAAGCTGCTTACTGAATGCGAAATAATTCTGACATTGGAGTCTTAGCTGAGAACAACCAGGGAGGTCTCGTGTAATAGAAGCACAGTCCTGGACATTTGGTCCATTGTTTATATACTTACACTGCACAAAATTACCTTCATGCTGGAGAATGAATCACAAAGTTGCAGATCCTTGTTCTTAATTTTTAATGTTGCAAACAAATGACCTGTTAAGCATGTATGTAGCCTTTGGAACTTGGACTTGACAGTCTTAATTTTCTCTTGAATCATTAATGGGTTAAAGTTTTTACTCTTGGAGATGAACACTACTTAGAAACATTAGGGAAATTGAGTGACACAAATATTTAGGAAAGAGAAAAGATAAATTAATTAACATGTCAAATCCTCTGAGATAATATGAGCTCAGTAGATTCTTTCACAATGAATTTTGTTTCCTAGCAGAGATGAATGGCTGTGTCCTTGCCGTTCTTCATGTTCCAATTCATGGTTCCAGAATTACTGACAAAAAGAAGTTACACATGGAGACTGAGGAATATTTTGTAATATTAATTTACATTACTCAAATTTTGTATGTATGTTACTATAGATACAACCTGCATAAAGAATGATGCTGATTCTTTAGAGGATTAGAAATTAAAACATGAACATTAAATGGGATCATAGATCATTTAATTTTTTGAAAAATATATCATCAGATTTTAAGTATTTTTCAACTTTGTTTCAATTCTAAAGTTTTAATAACTATCAATTATAATTTGTATTTGCTTTTAATTCTAAAATATTATTTTGAATATTTAATTTGAAAATAGTATTTTTAAATGTATGAAAATAATTCAGTTGAAAGGCTTTACACTTATTTTAATGTATATGTTTTGATTAAAGCATTCAAATTTTTCATATTTTGATAATGATTATATTTTTTTGATGGATCATTTAGATTATTACTCCCGGAGTGTTGGGAACCGCTCTGGACTGTACACACCTTAAAGTCCTGAGTAATGGAGAATGGAACTGTTGTTGCAGCCTGCAACACATTGGGCCTTACCCCAACTTGGATAATGAGGTGTGGCTCCAGGAGTAGGCGTCACCTGGTGGGGCTGAGTTACACTCACCTTTTCATTTGTAATTCTACCCCTTTGCCTTTTTGGGGATAGAATATTACATGGAACCTCCCCTTGTATGTCCACTATATAAGAATAAAGTATTCCAGTGGGTCACTCTTTCTTTCCATGGACCCTTAAGGTCGGAGAGCCATCCCGGTTTTTGAACAGGTACTTCTGTGTGTTTGCATGCTTCCTTTGTCATTGTCTTAAATTATTGGAATAGTCAGACTTGTGAACCCAGCATAGATTGCCAACTAGGATAGATAGCAATATCTGAGGTCAAATTTTGTAATAATTTCTATTGTAACATCCATTGTACTTGGTGATTTTGCTGAAATGAGGCAAGAAAAATAAAATTTTGTAACATTTATATTCATGTTTTATTAAATATTTTGTTTTATATTTTTAATTTATAAATATCTCATGATTTGCTACTAATTACATCAGAAATTTTTCTAGTTTTTTGTGAACATATATCTGACAATATAGGAGGATAATGCATTTTTTGGTTTAATTTGTAACTTTTCAAT